TATAATGGATAAATACAAGTTATCCTTAAAAATATACTTTTAAATATACCTTATACTTTTACACATGCAGTTAAGATCCTACTTATATATTATATCATATAGAAAATGAACAGTTAAAACAACTTTGAAAGTATTACATTTAGTCTATAAAACTTGGCTCACAAGTATCTAGTCAACCAGGTTATTTAAAAGAAGATACTTCAGAAGAGGAGAAAAATAGATATGGGATTCTGAGAGTAGTAGAGTCTCGTGTTTTTTTGCCCCTTCGCCATTTATTGTTTTATCTACTTTTAAAAAAGTATCCAATACTAAGAGGCAGAACGTACATTCATTGATGACTGAGAATGTCTAATCGAAAGTAAGACAGTTGTACGTTGTTGGACGTTCCTCAATAGTAGCTCAGAATTGTAATAGGCCTAATAAATAATATAAATTCCATTAAGTACTGTTATAAACATTGAATAATATAGTTTTGTGAGAGGGCGTATTGTTTTGTATAAACCGAATAATTTGCATAACTTTCTCGAATTTTGCAATAAATGTTCGATACTAAAATATATCGTTTCTACAAAACGAACTGATTCTGCATGACAGGTCGATTTTACATAACAAGTTAAAATATGAATTGATTTTTCATAATTCTGCATATCACATATTCTGCATAACGCGTGGAAAGAAGTGTATAAGCATTGAAAATACAACCTGAATAGACACCACAAGAGGAAAGTGTCCAAGACTCGTAATAGTAAAATATGAACAACACAAAGAAAGAAAGAGAATAAATTCTTAAGAAAAAAGGAATTTGAAAGAATAGATTTAAGAGGAACGAACTAGAAGAATAAGAAAGAAATTTTCTAAATTGTCTAAAAGAGAGAGGAAGAAGAAGTTAAGTATGAGATGTGATAACAGTTGAAGACCAAGATTTTGAATGGGATGAAAAAGATTCAGAAGTGATTCAATGGAGGTCACAAACTGGGATAAAATATTTATAGGTTGATAAGTAAAGAACCAGAAATAAAAATATTGTATAAGAAAAGAGAAGAAGTGAAAAATATTTTATGGAACAAAGGTAGAAAATATGAGGGACAGGATACAGAAAAAGGAGATCAATAGAAAACAGAAATGTAAAATAACAGAAAAGAAAAGAAGGACGCATTGAAATGTTAGTGTGGAACGTGATGGGAATGCTTTGTAAAAATATGGATTTTTGAGAGTTTGTTTGGAAACATGAAGTGGTGATCCTACTGGAGACATGGTGGAACAAAAATCGATCTAACACATTATGCCCGCAAAAAAGCGTAGCTTAAATGGCGTACGTTAAAATGACAGAATAAGGACAATTCAAGAGAAGGGCATGAAAACTACGGCAAATGTTTTGTGGGTCGCGGCTATTTTGATATAACTGCTTAACTCCTTCGCGTTTTGCATAACGCTGATATTGAAATAGATGCCAATTTTGCATAATGTGTTCATTATGCATAACACATCGACCCTAAATAACATGTTATTATACGAGTGGATTCAGTATAACAAGTGAATTTTGCAAAAAAAGTTAAAATACGGGTTGATTTTGCATAACGTGATAACATAGGACCGAGTCTGAATAACAGGTCAATTCTTCATAATAGGATGCAAACCATATCGATTCTGCATAACGTCAAGTTTATTCTCTATGATACTTTTTGATAAATCTTGGGCTATTTGAAAAAAATTACGGGTCAGACAAACAAACTTACGAAGACGCAACTTTATCTAATAAAACTACACGTACGTAACTTTATTTAATAAAATTACACGTACAGTAAACAATAAAGTAAAGTAAAGTAATATAATGGTATTTATAATAGTGTACAGAGTATGAAACAGTTATGAGCGTTCAGTGTATGACATGGTTTTACTAGTTGAAACAAAGAAACTCACAAAAACGAAGAATAAAACCCGTAGTAAAGAAAAAGCAGCTAAAAGATGTTCATAGCAAGAAGTCTGTGAAACGAACCGAAACTAAATTATCGCAAAGTAAAGTAAATGCAAAGTTATGATGAAGGCAAACGTAGCTGAATATACAGAAACGTCTGAATGCATGTTCACAAAGTGATGAGCATATGGTTTGAATGAAATGCACATGCTTATTTTAGGCCTAAATAAGTCGAGGAAGCCCATAAAATTGTATTTAGTGTAATTTTCATTTTGGGGAGAAATCACACGCGGGTTAGGTGTTGTTTGTGTGAAATACTTGGCAAATAAAACGTAATGACAACAACGACATTGTGTCACCGTGTAGCATACTCGTTACATTAAGAAGTTTGACATATCAAGAAACAGATAAGGCGATTCTGAATGGAAAAGCCAATATGCAATCCGGATTCCTCGGACAAAAGCCTTTCTAACGATATGAGATTTGTAGCGTTTGATCGAGAAATTTGCGAGAAAAGTTCCGGACAGACAAACGTAAGCGTTGAATATTATTTCTACCCGCCGTTCGGAGGTCTTCTACCACGAATGCAATGTTTCACCGTAACAGTTTTATTAGGATTATCCAACATTGATTGATAAGGCATAAATTTCTCGATTAAAATGCTCACTTCTTGAGTTTCCACCCATTCGATAAGCACAAACAGCACTCTCACATTAGTCTGAAACTTAATAACACCTAATTATTAAAGTAAAACTAAGTCAAATTTAATATCCTAAAATACAGTACCTCGCGTTATTGTTAGATGTTTGTTGCGAAACTTCTGGCTTAAAACTGCCGGTTGGAAAAGAGGCTATTAGCAACATGTGATTTCGTTTACTTGGAGGAAAATGAAAATATAATTGTAAATATAAATAACATATTCCTGAAAAGGACAATGGAAGAAATTAGCAATTTATTTATAATCTTGTGTAAACAAATTTCACAAATGATTCCGCCAAGACCGTAATTTGCACATCCGACTTCTCTAGGGTAATGTCTTCTCTTTACGTCAGATATGTCAATAAGAACTAATAAAAAATAAAACTAGAAATCACTGACACGTCATGAACTTTCTTTTTTATCCAGATTTTGAGAATATTCTAACATTTTCCTATTTCTAAATTTAGTAAGAATCAAGATACCTAAGTATAATATACAATGAAAAACTAATTTGAAATATTAGAAGAGAGCAGTTTAATAAGAGTCAGTACAATCTGTAAGGAAAACAAAAACACTCTAGAACAACCTCCAGTTAACACTGTAGTGGCACACAGTTCGGACTATATGAAGACATGAATCACAGTGTGTGCATAAAGTAAGAGAAATCACAGTGTGTACATAAAGTAAGAGAAATTACAGTGTGAATACATATTGTAAGACAAATCATAATGTGTAAACATAATGTAAGAGAAATCACAGTGTGAATACATATTGTTAGACAAATCATAATGTGTACACATAATGTAAGAGAAATCACAGTGTGAATACATATTGTTAGACAAATCATAATGTGTACACATAATGTAAGAGAAATCACAGTGTGAATACATATTGTAAGACAAGTCATTGTTTGTTGCTCTTTTGGAACCTAGTGTGCCACAGTCTATAGAGTTGTCATATATACATGTATATATAGTGACTTCACCTACTACACACACATTGTTTTCCTATTGTTTCACAATGCACTTTTCCTGTAAGGAGCATTTCTCTTAAACAGCCTAACCTCAACCACTGTTTCTATTATATAAATAAGTTTGGAAAGGTAGTACACGGGGCAAAAGTTTATTTGCAATGTTGGAAATATCTATGTACGAAACCACTATAGAAATTTATCACGTAACTTTTCCTCCTTATACGTTTTTGTTTTTTTCATATTCAAGATCCACAGCTCAGTACAAACTATGAATAGATGGTCATATTGATAATTCAATAAACAATAAATGTTTATAAAAGTTATTTTCAACTACTGTCTATTTTTCTTGGCTAAGTCGCGTAAAAATAATATATATTACAACTCTTATCAATTATGTATCAATATATAGAAACACAAGAAAGACCACTTTAGAGTTGGAGTTATCACCATACAAAGTTAAATTACTGTATCTTAACAATAGAAAAACATAGTGTTTACAGAAGTAAACAGAACAAATTTAATTTCCTAGGGTGGGAAATCGTATTTACACATAAAGATGTTGATTATTAAAAACTCTGTTTAACTCGTTTTCTAAACATTACATATACCTAAAGCCTCTTTATTAATATCATTCTTTGCTAGCCGTTACGTAACGTTGTTTTACTTAATTCATTGTTATCATTCGTTGCTAGCCGTTGCGTAACGTTGTTTTACTTAATTTATTGTTATCATTCTTTGCTAGCCGTTGCTTAACATAATTTTACTTAAGTTATTGTTATCATTCTTTGCTAGCTGTTGCATAACGTTGTTTTACTCAATTTCTTGATGGGTCGGTCATTCCTGAACAGCAGAAAGTTTCCGCATGGATAATGCTTATAAACATCACCATCAGTTATATGCTTTTGTCGTAGGTAATAACGTCGATTCAATGAACTTTTGATCCTTGTATGTAAATACTTTATTCAGGAAAATCGTACTTTGAATTCTATACATTATTTTGAAACTGTACAATATAATGATCTATCTTATATTCACTAATTAAGACAGGTACAGTTCTCGAAAGCATTAGAGTTTTATTGCGTTTTTTGTTTACTGTAAATTACGAGGTTTTTTATTCTATGTTTCATTTTGACTACCATGAAGATATTTTCAATTATTCTTGTACGTATCAATAGTTCGAAATTTTCATTTCCAAGAGTACTTCTGCTTTGTAAGTTGCGGCATTCCTTCATATTCTAAATTATTCCCTGACCATTTTCTCTTAGAAACTTCAAAACGTGAGGGTTTGTGATATGGTTACTTGTACTTCGATACGCATGAGCATTCACATTCATCCACAAGCGCTCACTTTGTCACTGGTCGCAAGAGAATCGAGTTGACGGGCATACCGAGTAGACGTCGTTTTCTGTATTAATCTTTTGTTACGACTGAAGCTACTAAAGGATTTGTCAATACTAGCCCAACAAGTTTTTGATTCTATTCTGAGGTTAAAGGAACTTAAACATTGGGGATTATTTGATGATATATTTCTAGTTTATCGGAAAATACTAACGTTTGTTCAAAAACTAATGTTCCTTGTCTGCAATTCTTTCGTCAGTTCTTTTCTAATTGAGAACAAATCTACAAATTCGACTTTTTCTTAGAGAAATTCTCTTCTTTACGATAAATTCGACACCTATAGATGTTTAGAGTTTCGACCGAGTTCTCCAAGTGTCTGTGTTGGATCGAGCCAACAGCTACTACCGTTAAAAAGAACAAGGATCGTGTTCTCTATTACTAGTGACAAGAGGTCGACTTCCTCTAGGAAACGACCCTATCAATTTAAAAATAATAAACTATCTTTGGTAACAACTCATTCACTTTTGAGAATTAATGAAGTCTCAACTTTAGGAACGGAGATTCAACGATATCAAGATCAAACTGTGAGTACACCTCAACGGACAAAGGATCTACAACCCTTGCAGTGAACAACCCTATAAAATTTACCCTTTTCCAAGATTTGAGATTTCTAAGTTACTAAAATGAGCCATGAAACCAGAAATGATGATCTTCATTCACAAAATGATTCATCTTCCAGTAAAAGTGAAGATTTTCTTCCATTAATTTCATCAGCAAATGATGATGAGACTAGATCTTTTGTAAAGAATTTCCAATTTTCTGCTTTATTAAACAATTCTGAATCGCCTGTTTCAGTTAAAACCGGTAAATGTCCAACTTCTGTAAAAAGTATTAAGACTTCTGTTAAGCATGAATGTCCAACTTTCATTAAGAATTCTGAGATTCCCATTGTTGTTGAGAAAAATAATTGTTTATCTTCTTTAACGATTTCGGACGTTTCTGCTTCTGTTAAAAGTCAGAAGTGTTCAGTCTCTAAAGCCATTTCCGAAGATTCCGTTTCTTTTACAGAACATGAAAGTCCATCTTCTATTAGTATTAAGACAACGGGGGCTCTTAGCTCTATCAACAGTAATGAGAACACAACTTTAACAAGAAGCAGTGAAGTGTCACAAATAAAAAAAGGTAATACTTATTTAGATGCTTCGTCCTGCGGCGTAAGTGAGATTAGACGATATAGTGCAGTCTGTTCACACAAAGGCAATTTTGGTTATATCCTGAAGGGAAGTAGCCAACAGCGACCATTATTGTGGGAATGTCCCAGGCCTAACGCAACTTGCAGAGAAAATCGAGCAAAGAGAAAGACCTCGCGATCCCGATCCATCGAAGCTTCTTGTCGACTTCTCCACGCTGAGTCTCCGCACCGGTTGCGGCAACGATTCGCAAGTATTCCAAATGACTTTTCTATGTTGCATTCCAATCTTCAAGACGAACGTAACTTTCTAAGATTGCGAAACTTTTCCGTGTCATCTAAGGGAATTTTCAACCATGGTGACACTTTCCGCTCTAGAGTTGACAGGAGCTTACCTTGCCAACTCTCAAAGTTGGCACATTCGGTTACAGATTCATTTGAAAACAGTGGATTTCCTGTTGCTGTTGTCGGAACAACAGAAGTTGGAAAATCTTCACTAATTTACCAGTTCACAACTTGTGAAAATATTTGCGAATATGAGAATTCAGGTAAAAATAAACCTTGTTTGTCTGTTTACTTTTTAATAGTTTATTTAATGGTATAAAAAGTTCTGAAACGCTATTTTTTAGTGGCTTTACACGTAGAACAGGGCTGAAGAAAGCATTAATAGTTTATATATGAATTAAAATTATTTAGAAAAAGTCAGTCTTCGATTTATTTACTCGGGAGGAAATTTGTAAGGAATCTTTCCTATTTCATCAGTTGCATGTTCAAACCGTTTAAAATATTTTGTATTTCAAGTTTTGCTTAAACGTGGAACTATTTTAAAGGATCACCTTAATTTTCTGTTTTTTTATTATTTTATTACATTGGACAAACCAAAGAATTTCAACCGTTTATTTTGTTTAAACACAGAAATATTTATTTTTTCCTAATGTTTTGAGTTTTTTATTTGTTTGCATTACATAGAAAGAATTTAATTATTCTTTCTATTGTTTTGGTAGGATCACGAAACAACATTAAATATTTGTTTTGTTAGTTTTGTAAATTATATTACACAACATGAGTTGAAAAAGTTTGTAGTTTTTCTAAAATATTTTACACAACTTCAACTGAACAAAGAATGTCTGTCTTACATGTATGTGTGTGAAGGTCATCATATCTCAGTTATATGTTATGTTTCTTAATATGTGTAAACATTTACAAAATACTAGATATTTTAACTTATTGTTTTATAATATGTCTATATTTTATACTTATTAAGTGGAAATAGTTATATTTGATATAATATATATTTGTATTTTTTATAAGAATCAGATACTTAAGTTAATATGTATGTTCATTTAAGATTAGAAAATGCTTGAAACACGTTTTGTCTCTCCAGCTTGTTAACAAGTAACAAAGTTTTTCAAGAGTCTCTTCTTTTTTTTAGTTTCTTTAAATAGGGACAAACCTTGAAACAAAATCGTCTCTTTACATTATTTTCACGTAACAAGACCTTTTATATTATTTTGTTTTCGCTTACAAAATATAAAACCTCAGTTGAATAAATAAAATAAATAGATAAATAAGCTCAAATAATCTTCCTAAACAATTGTAATTAATTTGTGAAATTTGTGATGGATGAATGAAATCTCCTCGAAATCACTCTCAAATCCCTAATGTTGACATAAATAAGCCTTCTTTGTCGACCCTTTGAATAATATACTTTTACGTGTTTTCTGCAAGTTTAACTTTTAGATATTCAAATAGTTTTAAAACATATAGTTTGAAATCAAATGAATTCATTATCCATCTGCAACCTAAATATACCACAGATACCATATTTTAAACAGATTTTTTCATTATAAGATTAACTAACGTATTGTCATAGTTGGTACATTTGCAAATCTTAGAGTGGACTTTAGTGAATTAGTGACGTATTTATTTAAAAAAGATTGATAAAGCAATCCCGAGAAGCTGAGTGACTCTGTAAGTCTTATCATCTGACACATATGTAACCTCTTAATTGTGTTTCAATAATAACAGTTCTCATTGGGATGTTATTTGTCAACAGAGGAAGAAAGATCTAAAACAGTTACAGTGGTGTTAAACCAAGAGGAATCAAAACTGTTATTTCTTGAAGAATGTCTCCCTGAAGATAAGGTGAGCTTTTTATTACTACTATATTTCTTGGTGAATGTCTCCTTAAAGACAAAGTGAGCTTTTATTATCCTATAATTCTTTAAGAAGGAATTCTTGAAAGCAAGGTGAGCTTCCTTATGGCTATATTTTCAAAGTTAATGTTTCCCTAAAGACAAGGTAAGCTTGATACGTATCTCTACATTCCAACAAACGTTATGTCCTGGTTTTATTGCTATTAGATAAGAGTTTATACAGCCATTCATTAGGGACTGTCATGAAGTATGTTTAATCTGAAAACTTCAAGGTTCAACAAGTTGTATTGCATACTATATTTCGTCTTTATGCTATCTGTACTTTAAAATGCAACATATTAACTACTTTGTAATACTTATCCACATCTGTTGGAAAAGAAAGTTCTGGCATAATATTAAGCAAAAAAGTGCGTAAATTGCATATATTATGTCGTATTTTACATTCAATAACTATTACTTATTTAAAAAGCATCAGCCCTCCAGTGGCACAGCGGTATGTCTGCGGACTTACAACGCTAAAATCCGGATTTTGATACCCGTGGTTGGCAGAGCACAGATAGCCCTTGTGTAGCTTTGTGCATAATTATAAATAAATAAACAAACATACAATCTGAGCGTCAAATTAAAAGAAAGCTTTCATATAAAAAATAATCTTGTCAAAAAGGCAGCGTACTCACATGTTCTAGTATGTGAAAGAACTCAGATAATAAAACTGGATTACATTACTTCCTGTAACATATTCATGCAAACCACACTTTTGCATCGTACAGAAATACTATTTTTTTATTTTGCGCTATTTACCCTTATTTTAAATCATATTATTTTTATTGACTTTGGATACGCCGAAAGCAAGCTTATCAAGAAAATTATATCAACATATTAGGGCCATAAAAGGTGTGGTATTATATAGCTACAATGTTCAACTGATTTTATACATTTAAATGGTAATTATATTTTTATCCTTAATTCAATTAATGAACATTGTAAAGATCAGATTATAGTCTAAAAGTTACATAAAAAGAAAAACTCAGAAGTATTTAATTCAAAAGAACAGAATGTTATCATCCACAGGTATCAGTGCGATATTTTGTTTTATTTTCCGATAGTGTAACTGCTTTCGGATACTTTATTGAAAATTCAATGATTATATCTTTTTTCTTTTAATCATAGTTTAGTTAAAAAGTGATTTTGTGTATAGAATTTCACATAGGTTAGCAAAATCTAGAAATATTGATTTGTGTGGAATACACTATTTGTGGCTAATGTTTGAACATTCATGATCTGTCGATGGAATGTGAGAATGGTCTGTCAACTGGACTTGTTATCGTTGTCCACATAATGTTAAAAATATCTAATTAATTAATTATTTAATGATTATTATCTTTCGATAAAATATTATTTGGTTGTCTGATTAAGTGAAGGTTACATAAAGATTTTTCATTAGTCGTGTCACTCCGCTTTCAAAGGTTACCCAAGTCAACAATAAAAGGCGAAAATAAAACGAGCATTATTAATTGCTATTTGAAATTTGATTGTTTTGTTAGATTTCGCGCAAAGCTACACGGGGGCCTATCGACGTTAGCTGTCCCTCATTTTAAAGTGATAGATTAGAGGGAAGACATCTATTCAATACCACCCACCGCCGATTCATGGGCTACTCTTGTGAGAGCAGATAGTGAGGTTTAAATTCCACTCTTATAACGCACCCACGGTTTCAAAATAGCGCGATTTTGTTTTGTTTTTGGAGGCAATGAGACGACACCCGTGGAACATCAGCTTCACAGTCCGGCATGCTAACCACTTGGGAGCGCTGCCCGATTTGGAATCTTCAGACCACCTTCCATTTAAACGTCGACTGAAAATATGACATATATTGGTGTTTCAACCAACAGGCGTTCAATAAGGAAGCAGTGAAAAGCTCTAGCTTAAAAATATTTTGCGAAATATACTTACAGTAAAATTTTTCTTTTTAATGTTTCGAAATATATGAGAATACGTTATCCGATTCTCTTTGTCTTTATCTTATTAATGCCAGATGATGACATTCAGTTTTCTTTATACTATGTGATCATTCGTCTTTGACAAACAAACTTTCGATAATTAATTTTGGAGGGTGTTTATGCCCAAGAATTAAATACAGTACAGCTTTATATTAATTTAAGATATCAATTATTGAAATAATGTTTTCTTATTTCAAACAAAGCTTCCCAGTGTTATACGGTTTGCCCTTACATCTTGTATTTGATTTTATTCACAGCTTTTATTGTACACCATTTCAACTTATTTTCAAATTTTTTTGCAATCCGTTGCTAACGAGTTCTTAACATTTCAAAGTATTTTTACGCAATTGAACTTGTTTAAAATTATATTTTATCTACTTGACGACAGTTTTATAATTTTACTCTAGTTCGCTGTCAAGTATACAGGCAATCAGTGTATTTAAATCTACTTTAAGTGTGATTACAATAAAGGGCCTATACTCTTATTTTTCTAACTTAAACTTATTTTCTTCTGTAAAATGTGGTAGTAAATTCCAACACAAGCATTTCAACTACACTTATAACTAAATAATTTGGTATCTTCGCTTAAATGTATCTGATTGTGAATAATTAATGAAGTTTTGAAAGGTGATTACTCTAGGAATTTTTTAACTATTCATATAACATCCGAAAACTGGTTTTTGATAACAACTTAACGTCTCTCATGTAACATAATATTCAATTGTGTATTTATTTTTTGTGATAAAATATATTTTATTCAATTAATTGCAATAAGGTACTACTGAGTATTGATTACAGGACACGAATAATATTATTACACGGTCTGAAAGCGTTTTTTTTTTATTATTTAACTGTATTGGTGTTAATGTTATGTTTCGGGTACTAAATCTTCTGCTTTCTTCACACCTCTTTAACAGACGTTGTTTTTTGTTGAATTTTCGCGCAGAGCTAACTGAGGGGTATCTGCGCTAGCCGTCCCTAATTTTGAAGTGATAGTCTAGAAGGAAAGTAGCTAGTCAACACCACTGCTAACTCTTGGGATACATTCTTACCAAAGAATACTGGGGCTGCCAATCACATTATAACGCTTCTACTGTTGAAAGGGCGAACACGTTCGGCGATGGGTTTAATCCCATGACTTCGCAGGTTATGAGTCGAACGCTCTAACCACTAGGACTCTATCAGATCTGTTTGTGATATTTTAGTTATTGAAATCTAGTAATCAATTTCAGTAGATAATGCATTCATCATTTGATATCTAGGTTTAAATTCCTCGACATTACAGAGATCTGCAAACTTGAAATAAGCGGTAGTTTTGGTACCCAGAATATTTTACTTAAAATATATTCTATACAGGATCATATACAAGATCCTTCTTTAAAATTACCATGCCATTTTTTTAAGATGTTACTCATATTCATATTTGTGTATTAACTTATTTGTAATGATTACTTCCCATCTTCGTTGAGAAAATGCTAAAAATAAGTAAACGAGACAGATTTTAACAATTATAAATTATTCTAAGTAAACTAGTTTGTAATAATTTTAACTACAGACCACAAACATAGTATTACAAAAGTCTGTCATTCACATTCTAAGTAAACTAGTTTGTAATAATTTTAACTACACACCACAAACATAGAATTACAAAAGTCTGTCATTCACATTCTAAGTAAACTAGTTTGTAATAATTTTAACTACACACCACAAACATAGTATTACAAAAGTCTGTCATTCACATTTCTAGTTACTTCCAATTATATATATATAAAGTTATTTATGCTTATAAGCTCATAATTATATTTTTATACAGATATTTTTTTATGAAATCATGATGAGGTAAGAAAACATCATGGACGTAATGAACCTGATATTTTGTATTTTGATATAATTAGATTAGGCCATTACATTAGTTATTTTGTATCAAAAAATCTTCATAATAGTATAAATACATTTTTATCTTCAAAGGACCCAGTGAATGATATGTCAATCCAAACATGTGACGCCCACGTGGTAGTTTATTCTGTTGTGAGCAGGTTCAGTTTCCAAAAGGCCAGGATGTACTTAGGTTCCTTAACAACCTTATCTGAAACAGCTGACAAGGCTGTAATCCTAGTGGGAAATAAGACAGATCTTGTTCGTCTGAGAATCGTTTCTACTAATGGTACGTATTTATCAATCCGCTTTTCTGTGTTCTTGTCTGTTTCATCTACTGTATATCTAACTCGTGCTGCAGGAAGTCATTTCTAAATCATAATTGTTTGTTATATTCTATAGATCCATAAACATTGATTATAAGGTTGCCTGTTTTTTGTTGTTTTTCTTCTGATCTCACCATTACTGTTTCCCAGGTCTTAACTGATTGCGTCTTTTTATAACGTTTTATAACATTTCTTCTATACTAAAGTCACGCCCGTGAGACTGCTTTGTGCGCATAGCTTTGTATACTAGCCAGAAAGCTAGTATACCAGGCGCCTTTTTTATTTATTTGTTTATATCTTGTTAGCTCTTTATATTAAATAAAAAAGAATGCACGGACGTTTTCCCTCACGTTCTTTAAGGGTTTATTTGGTGCCAGTTTTCAACTCTAGTGCTGGATTCTTTATCAGTCCCAATTTCGTTAAGCGAAGGCTAACTAGATAGTTGTCAGTCTGGAGCAAATATACAAGATGACAAATGATACGATTTAATTCATTGAAAAAAATTACATTATAATCATGAAATTTTCTTAAAGATTAATATTATATATATAATTGTAAAATAAATATTTTTAGAACGTTAGATTCCCCCCAGAATTAATGGTGACGATGTCGTTGTTCTTGTTATTTTTATCATTCACTAAATACACGTATGAATTATTTTTTGCACTGTTCTTCATTATTTTGAACAAAGGAATTAAAAACTATATTCAGTTAACATCTTCATTTATCCAATGGTGGGAGGGGCATAGGTGTATGTGTTGTGGTTGTATGTCTTCTTTAATTTTCTTATCTTCACTTCATAACTCCTATTCATGGCTGAGGATGTTGTTGTTTCTCCTAGCATATTTGACTACTGCCAATGTGTCTGTAATATAATTTCTTACTATTTCTTCGCTGCATTTTATTTTATTTGTAATCCCACAATCACTATCAGTTTAAAACGTTAGTTAATCTTTTTTTTTATATTGTTTGTATTCTTTCATCCAACTTAATTCGTTCACTATTATTCAGTTGAAGCTATAAATTTCTTTATGGTTTTAATATTTGTGCGAACTATATTATATCGACTTAATAAACATACAAAAAAACACATCAAAAGATCTCAATTTAGTATTCTTATTTTTATTTAGTACCTTTCAAAAATACGAAATATCTTGTAGGAAATATTAACTAAGTTGTAAACCGTTTTATGATATATATTAAGAATAGGTTAAATGATAGGGGAGGGAAAATGTTATAATTGAAGCAAAACCTTCACACATGGTGTAATATTGGATGTTCTAATTAACGCAATTAAAAGGCATTACCTCAAGGCCTTCATTACTAAATTGACTGGACATTTTTTTCATGTTGGAGACAGTGAAAAGCTTCTAAAGCTTAACTTGAAAATTAAAGTACTTCTTTATAATTTTTATCTAAGCTTTAATTATTTTTGATATTTTTACAACATATAAATGCACTGTTAAAATCTCTTATAATATGCATTGGAATTTGTTTTCATAGACTAAGATAGTAATAACAAAAACTAATATGCTTTTCTGTATATAACCACAGCTTTATTGCAAAATAGTGCGATTTTCACATCTAAGCTTTAGAATGGAATTCTTAGTAAAATTATGTTCTGGTTTCTTGAGCTTGATACAGTATTTAATATTGTTGTGTTTTTTGTTTTTGTCTTTTCAAATTCATACTTATAAAACGACAGTTACATCTTGAAGTTCTTACCCTTATAAATATCACAGATCACAGCTAGTGTAGTTTTGTATGCAAAAATAATGATAACAGTATGAGTGTAAAATGTTCCAAAATTAGACATTTTCTAGTAGGACTACTTCCTATCCTACTATTTGCATAATGTCTTTTAAACTAAGTTTCTAAGCTATTTATGCAATAGATTATTTTGTCATTGACTTTGTTGTCTAGGAGGTCCCTAATAAAACAAAATATTTATACACACACACATATATATACAGATTTTCGCACTTTTCTGACTTCAAAAAGCACATGAATAACTTTTGTTTTCAACGTAGTAACCTGCATGACCTTGGGAAAACTTTCGATTCAACAGAAAATACTATATCCGGAAGGAGTACCATGTTAAAAACTTTCATGGGAAGAAGTCGAAAACACTTGTTTTGATGTTATACAAACAGTCTAAAAATAAAAACTGCACTCATTATCTTTCTTCATTCTAGTGTCCAGTTGAGTTTTATTTGTATCTTTGTCACAGATTATGGATTACTTCTGATCAACAACTATAAAAAGGAAATGGTTGAAAACACAATCAGGATTTACAAAAGATTTTATTAACATAAATTAGACAAACATGCAAGGTTACGCAAAGTTATAGTTGATATGACAAGATATTCAGTTTTTGTGAAGAGAGGACCAAAACTTTAGTATATTCAGATAGAAATAAAAATGTTATATCTCCTACAGAAGGCAGAACAGTTGCAAAGGCTTATGGTTGCAAGTTTATCGAAACTTCAGCAGGCATCAACCACAACGTAGACGAACTTCTGGTTGGAATCCTGAGCCAAATCAGACTAAAGCGCCAGTATCAGGAACAACTAGCCAAGAAGCGAGAGTCGGTCACCTTTTCCAAAAGCTTAAAACAACATCGACGTTCTTCTGTGAATCCCAAGAAAATCATCAAACGAGTATTTGATAGAGCCATCTGGCGATCAAAATCCTGCGATAATCTTCATGTTTTATAGTTATGGTTCTTAAATGGACTTATAGTTATGCTTAATACATTGATATGTTGGTGGTTTAGTGAGAAAATAGTCTTGCCTTTAACGCTATAAGGGAATAGAAAACCAATTCTTACAGTCGATTCAACCAATCTGGTCAAAATATATAACCCAAAGATCGTTCGCTGATATAGAAACGAAATGTTACTTTAATAAATTTAATCTTTGGAATAATTATCCTCTTTCCTTGTTTTAGAACTTATGAGTAGTGTTAATCTCTAATGAAATATTTCAGAGAAGAAAGAAACGTGTGCCTTTGGGATTGTCTACATGTCAATGATAATAAAAGAAGTTTATAAGGAAGTCTGTCGTACAGATACATTGCTTGCATAAGAATTTGTTTGTAATTAAGCACAAAGCTACACAATGGGCTATCTGTGCTCTGCCCACCACGGATATCGAAACCCCTATTCTAGCGTAGTAAGTCCGCAAACATACCGCTTTGCCACTGTGTGGGGAGGGGGGCTTCCATAAGAAACGAGGTTTCATATAAATTTCTGCAATGTATTCCCCCTAAAGAAAATATCGAGCCGAAAATGAAAAGTTAATTAAAAGGCACTGTTAGTGTTTACATGACAAACACCTACCTTTCTCCTCTTCAGTTTGATTAATCGATACAGTAAATAAGAGAAGTGTTCACAAAAAGGCACTGTTAGTGTTTACATGACAAACACCTACCTTTCTCCTCTTCAGTTTGATTAATCGATACAGTAAATAAGA